GAAGTGATCTAATAACAGATTTTATTATTTGTTTAAAGGGGAGAAAAGTTCAAAGAGAAAATCCTTTAAAGCTGCACTATAACTTTTAGCCACTGGGGGGCGCTAGGCTTGAGGTTTCAGGAAGACCAAACCCGTGTCTGATCAGGTGAGGGTCATTTCCACTGATCTCTATTTCTTCATCAGATTGCTGATGGCGTGAAAAAAGCCGCCATCTTGGTACTCCCCGCTCTCACTGAGAAGCACCATAAAAATGCCTAAATGTGGGCATTTGGCTGCAAAAACAAGCCGTTTTCTGGCTTTGGGGAGAAGTCTCAATGGTAATTATTCAGTCAGTGGATGAACTAACACAGAAAATCCACATATACACATTTGTGTCCGATAGAATTGTATGAAACACCATTTGGCCATATTTCTGTTTATTTTTTAAATGCATATATATATATATTTGAATGTGACTTACTACATGTGTAAGTTATATTATTAAAGGTATTTAATCACTGGATAGTGTATGTGTGAGTTTATGTGTGCATGTCATGTGATTCTGCTAGTGTAGAAACTGAAGCTCTGTGGAATTATTAAATTAGTTCATTAATTTAGTTCTACTGTTAATCTATGTCAGATTTAAAGGCTAATGCACAGACAGTATAAAACTATTCATGCATGTTCAATTTGCAAATAGAAAAATTTATTCAGTCTTTATGTAAAGTCTTGTAATCATATGTATTATGTAATTATCATAAAGTAATCCATCCATGTATTTACATGTATACCATCAATTTAGCGCTTTTCGCTCATCTGTATTATTATGCTTAATTAACACATTAATTTCGTTGTGATGGATTGTATATGTTATATTACATGATTTATCAACTTTATTGACTTAATAATGATGCAATGTGATGCGACTATTTTTTTGTTATAAGTTAATCTACTGATGCTATAAAACAGCCAGTGTGTTTCAAAGTGATGAATTGATCTTTATTTTAAAAGTCTTAAGTCCCCCTGAAAAGGATAAAATCATCGTCGTTCGATGCTGTAGTTTTGTTTACATTGGGATCTATCTAACTAGGGAGTACCAATATGGCGCCGGTGGTTTCCCTCCATCCTGTACTACCAATGGGCGATCAGTCAATAAATAGAGCGGTCAGATCTGCTTTGCTAGCTAACAGCAGCGACTGTTAGCTTAGTTAGCTGTGGTGTTTAGGGGGAACTCAGCCTGCAGTAAAGCGTAGCTCTGAGTCACATGACCCAGACTGGGTCCGACCTTCTCTGGTTACAAGTAGTACAGCAAGTCCTGAATACTGACCTGAAAACTCAATTCATTAATCTCTAATTAAGCTAATCCTTAGATCAAAATGTAACTTTCATGGTTTGGTCTTAATATTAGAACACTGGGAGGTTAAGTATTAACTGGACCAACTGGATCAGACGCCTTCTCCTGCTGCAACATCATTAATCTCATTTTTATTATTAAATAAGTGCATCTTTTTTTTATTGAGCAGGTAAGTAAGACACTTTGCCAATGGAATAAGACAGTACATTTAAAATAAGAATAGTGCATATTATCTAATTATCATATATTTAGGGTAAAAATGCTTGTTCCATTGACAGATCACCTTAATTCCCTACCAAAATTAAGGGTAAATGCATTTAACTAAAGACATGCTCACTTATTTTCAGTACATTTTCGCAGTGCAAGGATCCTTTAGGGTACTGAGGTCCATGTGTTGACAGTAAAGGGCTGGTTATCCTCCCTCAGCAGTGTGTGGCAGTTAGCCTGTCGCAGGTATGATGCATTTTTGATTTATGTCCAATATTGATGCGCCGTCTGCGCTGTTATTCCACGCCACAACGCCAGAGGGACAATCAGGAGCTAGCTAGCTGGGATTGTGGGTGTCTGTCTTTCAGTTTGACGAGGTTGTTCTCGGTCTACAAAGCTACAAACTAGCGTCCTGTACCGTGTCTGGGTTAGTGTCTGAGCCGTTGTGGACGGCGCTAAAGCCTGAGTTTCTGCCATTAGGTCCCAAACAGGAAATAGGCGTAGTGTAGAGCGGATGTAGAATTGACCAATCAGAGGCCTCCTTTCTCTCCTCCATGCAATGCTATCTGCGGCTCTGTCTGTGGTCATGTCTGCATTAACTGCGACACACGCAGACAATCTGGTTTCTAAGCATAAACCATCCAACCGTTACCCTGATCTGAACCGTTAGCAACAACAAAGGAGCAGCAACCTGTCCTCAGTTTGATGGTGAAATCAGACCACTGGTCCTCACTCTGATACCAAAGCAGGAACAAACACTCACCTTGTCGAGCTGGGAGACCACCTCCCACAGCAGAGCGTGCAGCACCGACAGCTCGCGGCCCAGGTCGATGTAACCCTCGAAGCCCGGCGTGTTGGACAGGGTCTCCGGGTTGGAGATCTCCGACAGGAAACGCATCATCCCGGCCCACTCGTGCTCCAGGAAGTCGTTCATGAAGGCCATGTACTCCTCCTTGTTGCCGAACCTGCTGGGGAGAGCAGCCTGAGTCTCGGGGCGAAGCCGGCAGACGGCGCCGCCTGGAGGAAAGCCGGAGCGCAGGGACTCACTTGGTGAAGTTGGCGAGGTTCTGGATGACCTTGGCGATGAGGGTGAGGGTTCTGGACGTCCTGTCGTCCGGGTACTCCTGCATCAGGCTGAAGAGCGACGGCGACATGATGGCGGGGCAGAGGAAGCGCAGGAAGAGGGAGGCGCTGATCAGGCGCTTGCTGATGTCCTGCGGGTGTCCGCGGGCGACGCACTGCTGCTTCCAGGAGGCGAACACCTCCTTCAGCTCCCGAGGAAACACGCTGCACAGACCAAACCCACACAATTTAACTCCACCTACTACCAGCTTTAAAGGTTCTGATCGTCCGAAAGAACCAAGAGAAATAAAAACCAGCTTCAAGCAGATTAACACGCTAAGCTAATCTGGTCTTTGTTGGTCTGATCGGACCTTGCAGGGTTCCAGAACCTTCTGGACCTGCCGGGCCTTACCAGTAGGAGTTGATGATCTTGCAGAAGGCGAGCTCGCAGCACATCTTCAGGTTGCTCTGATGCTCCGTCAGGTCACTGCCGGAGCATCGGCTCGGGTCCACCTCACAGTTCTCGTCCGACTCGTACAGAGCCTTGATGAACTCGCCTGCAGACACGGCAGAACCCGGAGAATCAGAACAGATGTTTCTGTTGGACCAAACATCTGCTCCCCTCCTCCTGAGCTGAGAGGCGTTCGCTGTCAGCAGAGGAGCTGGGAGTTTTCAGCTCTGGCCTTCGTTAAGCTTTAACGAGGCGGCATAAATCAGTGGAGGAATGAATATTTAATAATCCAGCAGGAAATAACAGCGCAGCTGAAAGCTGCTGCAGCATCAGAGCAGCTCTGATCCACTGATGCTGCTAAAAATAGCTGCTTTCAGTGACTGAAAGTCACAGCAGGAGGATCTATTTTCAGCTTCTGTTTCTCCTCAGATGTTAAGAGGGAGCAGCTGGAGGAGGAGGAGGAAGGAGCTTCATCATTCAGATGATTCAGAGATAAAAAGCCCAGAAGAGGCAGGAAGGTCTGACAGCCGCAGACTGGAGGAATAACAGTGGAGAAACGGCTTGTTAGGTTCTCCTACATGTTCCTGCTCCTCCTCCAGCTGCTCCTCCTCCAGCTGCTCCTCCTCCAGCTGCTCCTCTTAGCTGCTCCTCCAGCTGCTCCTCCAGCTGCTCCTCCTCCAGCTCCTTAAACTCACCCAGAGCGTCGTGGAGATACTTCTGGCCCACCAGCTTCAGATACTCCTCGATGGCCTTGGTGGCCAGCGTGTTCTCCCTGAAGATCAGGACGTCGTGGTCGGCGCAGCGATCCACCTCTGACATCACCAGGTCAGTCAGGAAGTCCTGAACAGAAGGTGGAGACAATGAGGCTGTCAGAACATCGGTCCAGCAGAACCTAACGGGCTTTCCTTTAGTGCATCCAGCAGCCATGTCGTAGATGTGATGTGAGTGAGGTGCTGGTTCTGACCTTGGCCCGGCCCGTGCTCTGCAGGATGTGGACCAGCGCGCACGCCATCTCCTCCTTGTTCTTGACGCTGATGACGGGCTCCAGCACGGAACACAGCATGGTGTAGTTGTTGGTGACGAACTCGGCGAACTCCTTGTACTGCTCCATGGGCAGGATGGAGATGGTCTGGAAGCGGGACTTGATCCGGATGGAGGGCCCGCCCCCTTTGGACTTGCTGGCCGTGGGCGTGCTCACCGGGTACCACTTCTCCACGAACTGCCGGCCCGTCACGCTGGGCACCGGGATGTTGACCAGGCCGACGTAGTTGTTCTTGTCCTTCTTCTTCTTCTTGTCCACGTCGCGGTAGATGTGCACGGTGACGCTGCGCACCACGGGCAGGCCGCAGAAGTCGAAGTACTCGCCCCAGAACAGGCTGTCCTGCCGGGTCTTGCTGGTGGTGCGTGCGTACAGGACGTCGTCCAGACACAGCTCACAGAAGTACCTCTTCTTGGGCGGCAGGTCTTTGGCCTCGATGATCCACAGGCGCAGCAGGTTCTCCGCCCGCCGACAGTTGTCCTGGAAACGCAGACACACTCATCATGCATCAAACCCATTAAGATGGGTTTAAAGAACCAGAACCACACGCCAGGTCCGGTTTGGGCCTCACCTTGTTGGGCTGGATGGTTCTCCTCAGGTTCTCCATCCACTTGTCCCTCTCTGAGGCGGAGGTGCAGCTGAAACACTTGCTGCCGCCGGAGTAGGTCACCTGCCAGAGAAGAAGAACCACAGCGGATCAGAGGTGGAATGGATGGTCTCTGGTTCTCTGTCCAGAACCCGGGTGAGTGTCTGACCTCGAAGCAGAACTCCTGGCCCAGGATGCTGCTGTGCAGCGGCTTGATGAACACGTCCTCCTCCATGCTCAGGTCCAGAGCCTCCACGGCGCTGCCCGGACACAGCAGAGACTCATGGGAGCTGGACTCCTTCAGCTTAGGGAGCCCGCGGGACCTGCAACAGAGAACCGGGTCAGAGGCGGCCGCACGGAACCGCAGCTAGGAGGCGCCGCTGAGTAACAGAACCAAAGAGCTGCAGGGTTACCATGGTAACCAGTAATTCAACTATAGACCTGCATCAGTCAGCTGGGTTCTGGTAACAGAACCAGGCCCGGTTCCGCTCCCTGTGATGGACCTTCCTGTTGTTTAATCTCTGTTACATAAACCCAGATTACTGATGGTCTGACTGACCAATCGGATCGCACGGATTATAATCTGCAGCATGACATTCTCAGAACACGACCCGATCAGCCTCCACAACCTGCTGGTTCCTAAAGATGAAGCTGAAAGGTTTCAGAACCAGAGGAACCAACTGGGATCAGAACCAGTGAAACCAGAAACCTCCCATCCTGCTGATCCGGCTCCACCGGGTTTGTTCTGCTCCTGTTCTGGTTCAGACTGCAACCCAGTAAACCCAAACGGACCTTCAGAACCCAGCCTCCCCAGTTAAAACCCAGCCAAGCAGTTAAAGCGACTCCAGAACCGCCCTACCTTACGGCTTCCTCCTGGTCTCAGTAGAGTGTGAGCAGAGGAGACCCGACCCGTCCAGTCCAGGGGAGGGGGCGGGGCATCCAGCTGGCTGACATCCAGTCTGAGGATCAGAACCGCTGCCTTCCTGCCTGCATCAACATCCTCTCAGACACTCAGACCATCAGAACACTGGTTCTGGTGGAACTGGGACAGAACCAGAACCGGCAGGAACAGAGTTTAGTGGGACAGGATCAGCCCCTAGAATCCCCCGTCAGGTCCGATACGGATCCCTCAGGGTTTAGATCGGTTCCAGAAAGAGGAATCGGGCCCAGATGCTGGCCTGGTAGAACTCTCATGTTTAGGACAAGTTTTGCAGCGTTTTTTCTCTGGCTGGTTGGACTTTCAAACATTTCGGGTAAAGTTCTGATACAGATGTAGAACCCAAACAGAACCTTGGTCCTGGCGGCTCCACTCACTGGGAGAGGAGTGCGAGTGGTAAGCAGAGAGCAGCACTTCCAGTAAAGCCGGGCCCGCCCAGCGCTGGGAAGGAGGAAGACAAACTGACGCCTGAGTGGGTCGCTGCAGCGGGGTTTATTATAGAGCAGCTAGAACAGAACCAGAACCAGGAATCAGAGCAATTAAGGTCCGATCAGCTTCAAACCAAACAACGATCAGAACATGAAGCAGAGAGGCTTAGATCTCTGAAACGGGTCTGGGTTCTGGTACCAGCTGATCCCACTGAGATGTTCTGTTTAACATTTTAGCTGTGGAGGAAGAAGGAATCACTGAGGAGACATCCAGAGACAGGAAACACCCCTGCAGCAAGCACAGCTTCACAATAAAAGCCTCCTTATAACTCAGACGGACCAATAGAATAAAATCCTCCTTGAACCTGAAAGAACTTCAGAATTAAAGCCTCTCTGCAGCTGATAGAACTTCAAAATAAAAGCCTCCTTATAACTCAGACGGACCAATAGAATAAAATCCTCCTTGAACCTGAAAGAACTTCAGAATTAAAGCCTCTCTGCAGCTGATAGAACTTCAAAATAAAAGCCTCCTTATAACTCAGACGGACCAATAGAATAAAATCCTCCTTGAACCTGAAAGAACTTCAGAATTAAAGCCTCTCTGCAGCTGATAGAACCTCAAAATAAAAGCCTACTAACAGCTAATGGAGCTTTTAAATAAAAGCCTCCTTATAACTAAAAGCTTTCATTAACACCAAATTACTTCAAAATAAAAGCCTCCATGTGATCGGAAGAGCTTCAAAATAAATCATTCCAGAACCTGAAAGAACATCAAAAAATAAAAGCCTACTGTAACTAAGGAAGAATGTTATTATAATAGCTTGAATGAAACTAAAAAAAACCTTCCTGCAGCTGAGGTGGACCTTCACAATAAAAGCCTGCCTGAAGCAGTCACATGTCACACTGATGTTTAAGCAGTGATCAAAGCACCACAGAACTCCTGTTTCCATGAGGAAGCATCAGTGGTACCTGTCTGCATCAGCAGGCCGGAGCGACGGCAGTCTGAAGCTGGTGTTCCGGTCCAGTTTGGTCTGACTCTTCGTCCTCTTGATGGAGCTTTTGAGACGTTTGCTGAAGAAGCCCTGGAAGAAAAGCAGAGCGGGTATCAGAGGAGACGCAGGTCATCTACACAGCAGAACTGACTCTGTTTGTCTACCAGATGGCGACAGATCACGGGTCAGAACATTTGAGGGGAGTCAATCTGACAAATAGTAACTATGAATGAGTCCAGATCAAAACAAGCGGAACCAGAACCAACTTCTGAGATCCAACCTGTTCCTTTAGGATGATCTGCTATTGGCGTTATCTAACCTTCCACTCAGTTCTCCTTTAAAATGCTCCAACACAGCAATTAGAGATTATTCAGCTTCCTCAGCAGTAACAGATACTTTTTTCTTCCACTCAACTTTCTTTTACAACTCAAACACCACACCCTACGAAAAATACAGCTGCTTCAGAAGTAACATTTCACACCTTTTTCCCTCCACCAAGTTTTCCATTAAAATGCTCAGACAAAGCACTTTATGAACATCCAGCTGTAACATTTCACACTTTAATTCCAGCCCAGCGTTATGTGAGAATCCATCTCTTCCAGCGACAATCTGTACTTTTTCCTTTCACTCAGCCTGCGATTGATGTTGCTTTTCCTTCCACTTAATTTTCCTTTACAATGCCTAAACACTGGACTCTATGAACCTTCTTTAGCAGTGAAAGTTTTTTCCTTCCATTAAATGATAAAACATCTGTCTTCCTTTCCATCAACTTTCTGTTTAAATGTTTGTTTTTCCTTCCTTTAAAGCAGCAGAATCACCTGCAGCTCCAGCCTCTTCAGGAAACACTGCTAATGTTTTCATCCTAACATGTAACAAAGCAAAGCGATGCTCCTTCAAACGAGGCTGTAATTTGAGCTGAAATGATGAAACTCTGCTTGATGCAGACTGATGGACAGAGACGGAGCAGCATCACTTTGGCTCGCTGATAAAAAGCAGGACTTCCTCACAGATCAGATTTAAACAGATGGTTCTTTTTATTTAAAGATAACTAATTATTATTAAAACGTATTTTATTAATATGGAGAATTTAAGATCAACTTGGAATGTAACTGATATTGATAGAGAAGCATGGGCAGACATCTTGACTCTGCCTTCCTGAATTATAAATGCAATATAATATTTTACATAATGTATACATATCTCCACATATAAATAGCAAGTAGCAAATGTAAACTGATTGGAGGGACTAGAGATTACTATTTACACTAGGGGTGTAAATAATAATCGTTTTGTATCGATGCATCGATGCATCGTCACGTCCG